AACTTGGTGGCGGAGTAGACCGCGTAGCCTCCGCAGGTTTCGACCCTACTTTTGGGCACCTCCTCCAAGCCTAGTGACTCTTATCATCTCTTATCTCTCTTATCTCTCTTTTACAATGCCTTTTTCCAGAAGGCTTCCCACCCAATGTCTTAGTAACTCAGTTGACACACCCGGTGGCTCCTGCCTGGTAGGGAGATGAGCCCCGCCGCAGAGGACACGATGGCTACCCGGCCACCTTGGCCGTCACTGGCCATCACTTGTGCTGCAGCCGTGGCCTGGGCTGGAGCGACCGCTGCATCCAAGGGCCCCTTCTTGGATCTGGGGCCCTTGGATGCAGCGGTTGGGCTGAGACAGTGAAATCGTGTACGAATTGGTCTGAAACCCAGAAGAGGGGCTACAGAACCAAATCCATCCAAATCCTATGGAGGAGCACATGCACTTATCACTACTATGAACTATGAAACGACATATATAATGTGAAACCTACAGTAGGAGAAACCAAAGAGCAGTGTAGAACGGCAGGCACTGAAACAGCTACAATCGAAAAAGAGCAAACCAGCTAGGAAATCCAAAACAACTGAACCAGCCCATCAGCCGGCCCCATTTCACACTCGTTTCGCAAGCTCAAGCCGCGGCGGCACTTCTGAGTGCCCCCAACACAGCGCAAAGAACCCAACAAGTTGGTCGAGATCTGAGCATCCTTCGCCGACGACGTGGCGGCCGACCAGTGGGACCGATGGGGACCGATGGGGACCGATGCGACCGTGAAAGAAATGGAACGTCGGCCGATCAAAGTGAAAGATTCAGTGGATTCTCTTGACAAGAAAGCGTGTGATTGATTAGGGCTAGGACCTAGGGTATGTATATATATATATATATATGTGATATGTGTGTAGATCCGTGGAGCAGGTCAGCACTGCTGGAAAATATGGCACAAAAGCTGAAAGGTTGACACCAATCTCCACCTACATGAGCCTTGACTGGCCTGGTGAGACCAGTGCTATCGGCTCTAAATTCACGGTGCCGATTCGTCCATTCCCTCCATGTCTTAGTGACTATATAGACCCCCAAATAGATAGAAATGTCGATCCCCACTAAAAATGTATTGGAAGCCGATTCATTTGGAGATCACTATATAGTGGATGATGCTAGTTGATCCAGGATCGATCAAGTTTTACCCACTTGTGGCCCCTGCCGCAGCCCTGCCCTTCGACTGCCAACTCAAATTCACGAAGCCGAAGTACACAAGAAAAGGAAGAATTGATGGACTCAGTCTTGGACCCCAAGGTTGCACACTCTTGCAGCGAAACCCTCATTCTTCCACGGCACCATGAGCTCATCGATCTGTTCCAAGGACGTGCCGACCAGAAGCTTCGCCACCCCTGGGATCAAGTCTTGGATTCTCAATGTCAATTGGGGTGTGAAAACAAGGCATTCCCTATCGATGCCCCAGAAAGGGTTTCCCAATCGGAAAGCAAACTACTCCTTGAGTCTGTGAGGCTGTTTCGAGAGGCCTTGCGACGCACGAAAGCAGGTCGGTGGTCAATTTTCCCTTCTACTGGGTATCCATGCGCTGCAAAGGAGTCCTCGTGGAAAGAAACCTCATTTCCATGATCCCCTTCCAGTACACACCCAGACTTGTACTTCCCAGCCAGTCGATGTCGGCGCCAGAAAGGGGATCCTAAAACTGGACACTTGTCCATTCTGAAGGTGATATTATGAAGAAAGCCTTGTTGGAAAACTCCCGCGGAGCGCGACACACCCAAAGGGCGCCCGCCTGTGCCAGCGTTGCAGACGACCACATCCACACGGCCAAAGCCCTCCGACGCAGCTTCGCCCAGCAACTCCGCAAAGTGTGCGCCTCGCAAGACGTGGCTGCACCAAGAAGAGCACGGTAAGAGCATGGTACGCGCGTAAGACGTAGGAGGAAGAGAGGCCACTCCCTGGCCAAGCCACTCCGCATGGCCGACACGTCCATGGCGAGGTGTTGGATCTTGGCTCCTAACCGGCGCTCCATGGCGTGCTGGTTGTGATTTGCCATCGGGGGACACACCCATTGAGTTGAGTGTTTTGCAATTTAGCACCTCAATATGACCCTCCAACATCATGTTGACCATCTGGGGTTTGCTTTGGCCAACTTGCTTCTTCTTTGCACCCAATACTGTCTATACCAATTGGCTGCTCACTCCAGTGTATCCCCTCTATTCATCAACCAACTAATAGTAAAAGGCCATCCATGGGTCAGCCCCAGATCTCCTGTTGGACCTTGCAACTTGCGAATCTCCTCACAAGCATCCCTGGGATCCGCCGATCCGTCGGCCGGAGACGGCGGAAGCTTCCGCTGCAGTGGTGTCCCGGTGAAGCAAACAGAGGACGTGATACGTCCCACAGCCCACATATCTCACACATCAACGGACAGGATGCAAAACCAGGGCCAGCAGGGGCAGCCAATCATGCATGAAAAACTGTTGGGATTTCCTAACTCAGCCAGATTTGGGGAATTGTCCATCAGAGATTGGGATAGCATGATATTGGCGATGTCCTCCGATCTCATGTCCGATCTCAAGACCGACTCCCTGGACCAACGAATTGCACCGTAGTACGTAACACTGAGTGAAAGAATCGGAAAGCACCATACACAACCTGTAGACTGTTCACTTGGGAACTTGGGAAAGCATCATCAATACAGTGGGCCTTCCGTTCAAACCACTGCACCAAATTCTGAAACCACCAGTGGTATCACTGGTTCCTCTGCTGCCAAGCCACGGCAGTAGAAGGAACATGAAAGTGCATGTGTTGACGATTGGAGGCATGTGACCCTTTTGGCACCAGACAAAAATAGAGCAGGTCCCATCAGGTTCCCCACATTGGTGCTCCTGCCAGAATCCCTGCTCCGGTCGGCTACACACTGGATCTGCAGGCACGCAACTTCATGGCCCAAGGCGCTCCAACTTCTTCTTGGTCCGCGCAACGATGGTCACCTTGGCACCACGCAAGAAGCAAAGCTTCGCCAGAGAAAGCCTTGGCGGTGGTCGACTTGCAAGGCTTGCTCGAAAAGGCGGAGGTGGTCTATAGGCCAAGAGTTCTGCCAAATGGAGCCGGAAGTTCTACTCCTTCCAAACTAAGATCTATGGGCTAGGGGGCCCGGGCCTCATTTTCGGGTCGGGGGAAGGTCCTGTCCATCGTTCGTTCTTGGTGTCGCCATGTTCATGCTCTTTGGATCCGTTCGCTCTTTGGCATTTCGCACTTCGCTGGTCGAGTGACGGGTCGCGACCACCCGCGAAGCGAAGCTTGGACAGACACAGACATAGACATAGCCATGGTAATGCCACAGTTCTTTCTCTCAAAAAGTCCATGTCAAGAGAAATCGAATTCCAACATGTTGCAATTCCAATAACCCTTGGTGGACTTTGGGTCGAATGTTCCATCAAATTCTGTCAACCTTCTATAGGGCATCTTGCTTTAGTTCAAAATTGGGATGTGAATGATTGTAAATGAATGTAAATGCTAACCACCTGAACTAGAACCGTTCCAGCAGCCGATGCCCAAGAATCCTCCAAGCAGCCCTAAGCCTTGAGATCCTCCAGTGATCAGCACATGCTTCCCGCTAATTGACCTAAGCACATGCTTCATCTTCCAAACACTCCACGACCGAAGGTCCAAAATGTCAGGTGCGGCCGTCGTCACTTGTCGACCTGGCTACTTTCGGTAGAAAGAAAGGGGGGAAGTTCAAAGACCCCTCCAAGCTCATGTCATTCGAGGACATCATCATGGGCATGGGCAGAATGCTAATACAGGAGCGTAATACAGGACCAGGACCGTATATCTCATTTTCCCCAAGCTCATGGCAAGGAGACTTGGTTGCAGGGGGAGAATGACCCACACATTGTGTACCAGACCCTTTCCACATTTTTCACATACCCATTCATTTTGCCTGCTTCGGTTGAAATCCTTTGCCCGTTCCGTTTCGCTTCGTTTCGTTCAAAGCACCCTTCCTCTCGTGGAGAACACGCTGAGCACGGTGCATCTTCTTGGAGGTGAGGCATCGCCAGACCAAATGCAAGCAGCAGGCACCGCTGCCCACCGCCAACAGCGTCCATGTCCAAAGCATGGACTTTTCCGACCGGTCGGAGTGAAAGGTACCGACCAGTCGGGGCAAGAAACTGAAGCGTCGAAACAAGGTGCGAGGAGTGAGGCACACCAAGTCTCCAGAGATACAAATCGTCACAGGGAATTTTCAACCACTTTAGAGTCTCCAGAATCGACAAAGCATTGATCAATTCATACTGAGTCGAAGTCTTCAACTGCTTCCAAACGATCCTTCTATCAGATGCCCAAAAGTCTGAATGCTGAGACTTCGATCCCTGGATGGTTCGCCCATCACACTGTAGCCGTAGCCAATCCCATGATTTTTATCAGGTGAGGCCGGGTGAACCCGCCGTCTGAACCCGCGGTGTTACATCGTTCCGAGCGAAACAGAGTCTCGAGCCGCTCAAGTCGAGATCCGAGACAAAACCCTCGGTGGAGTGAAAACCATCGGTTTTGGTCCAAGAGGCCATGCCATCCATGAAAACCATGGTTTCGGAGTGTAACCGATGTTCGGGCTAGGTCCACGTCTCGCTGGCATGAAAACCTTTTTCGCATGAACTGTCCCTTCGCACCAAAGAAGCGGAAGAGTTTGCTGGGGAAATGTTTCAGTCTGTTTTCTTGCCAGAAAGAAGAAGCAACTGAAAGGACTGTCGGAAGTTGATCTCGAACAGGCTAAAAGACACATCTTCTAAATCCACACAAAACACAAGACGTGTGGATTCAGAAGGGTCATGGAAAGCCCAAACTATGTGAGAAAAGGGATTTCTCAAGGGACAGAATCGGTGATCGGCAAGTCGGTGATTTCTCACCTGTTGGCATGTTTGTCATTCTTCTCCAATCCTCATGGGTCGCAGGTGCAGTGCGCAGCGCTCAAAGGGTCACCAGCTCGCTCATCCACTTGGGCACCGCGCTCAAGAGCGCCAGGTCGCACTCATGGGCAATCTTCAAGCGTGAGGCCTTAGCTGTGCCCAAGACACCGTTGACCGGGTACGTTTCGTGCCGAAAAGAGACCAAAAAGCAGCCATTTTGAGGCCGAAAGCCAGGTTTTCAGAATGGTCCGGAGGGTGCAAAGTCACTGAAACACGTTGGATATATTGAAAGAAAAAATGAGGTGCAAAGTCACTGCATATCAAAAGCAGAATGTGATGTGTTTGTGTGTGTGTCGTTAAGTTTTGTGTGGTCAGAATTCCTGATGGCCATCCTTCAGAAGATTAAACATGAAAATACTCAAAACATATCCAAACATAAACATAATATACCTTGCGAACATTGCCATATTGAATTCCAAAGTAAGGGTTCCAATCCTACATTGCCATATTGAATATTGACTATACATGTTAACTAAGATGGAGTAGTCAATATAGTATACGGTCATCCTGGGCCTCCACTGGAGTCCGAAAAGAGAAAAACAACTCTGACGATCCAAGAGGTTGTTCTTTTGGTTGACCCCATAACAGAATGATTCACCCACCGATAATTGGGACCATTGAAAAACCTGCGATTCCTCTGTATTGTGGGGGGTCCAACCTTCGGGGTCACCCGGTTAAAAAGCGCGGACCAGGACCATCCTGTCAGGACCATCCTGACTTCCCTACACTGCTTGGGGATCTCCAGCCACACCCAGGCAGGATGGTCCGGGTATTATACTGTATATATATATACATGTTATATAAATGTTTCGATTGATGGGGCAGCGACGGCAGCAACTTGGTGTGACCTGCATGAGCAACGCTGGAGTCATTCAGCAGAAAAACAGAACGTCTCGAGTGGTTCCGGTTTTAGACCTTGAAGATGGTGAGTCATCCTCGGAAATCTCATGTTCACAGGTGCCCCTCATACCATAGTACGTATGTGAGCCCAAGATGCAGCAATCATCAGGAGTCTAAGGCACCAATCCAAGAAAGTGTTGAGAAGATTGACTTGAGAAGAGGTTATCTCTGGGAGGTAGATCTATGTAGAATGAAACAATGCCGACCCTCCAAAGGGAGAATCAACTGCTTCCGCATATATATATGTTGATGTGTCACTCGTACCCAAGCCAACCTTGGTACTCGCTACCAGCTAAGTGGATCAAAATCCAGTGTCCTAGTGCTCCGCCGGGTTCATTCGCCCTCGCCCGTTCGACCGCTTTGCGCTGTCCTTTCCGTGCGAGTTGATTGAAGAGAGCTAGACACTTATTTCCATCAAGCTTGACCGTCGTTGACGCCGGGAGTATCCCCGCAACAGCTGGCTTGTGAGAAGGGGCTACCTGCATGGTAGCGGAGCCTTGTGCTCCAGTAGGATGTGGACAGGTGATGCTTTGTACTCTGCACTGCCGAGCCGTACAGAGTCGACAGGTGGCCTCAACACTGGGGTACAGAAGAGCAAGGATGGAGTGCCCGTCTGGGGGGGAGAAGCTGTTTGCTTTGAAGAGTTCATTGAAATGTGCCTCCTCTACGAGCAAACCGTGGTCAAAGAGAAGCGGTACCTGTGCGGTCCCCGCATAGCTGCTGAACTTCGTGGACCGGCCCGGAGAGTGTTGATTGGGAAGCCAGCCAACTGGCTGTCTCATGACGGTGGGGTGCGTGTCTTGGTTGCTGCCCTTCGTGCCGAACGAGGACAACCCAAAGTGCCCGAGATGTCCGAGCTTTTGCTGAAGTACTTCCGTGGAACGAAGAGACAACGGGGCGAACCCATGGGAGATTTCATTCTGCGAAAGGCTGAGGCCTACACTCGAGCCCAACAGTCAATGGCACGATACCAGCGAGACCATGGCATGGCATCGACCTCAACGTGGCCGGCATCGTCAACGGCAGGACGCCATCCAAGCTCTCACACCCGCAGTGAGCCAGGGGGAGAGAGTCAGCAGGGGCCTCATGAGGTCTCGTCTGGACAAGGAGACTCAGAGTTCCAAGATCCCATCGAAGAGTGGGACACCCACTACAATGGTTGGCAGGGCTACTATGACTGGTCCTGGTATGACTCCTACGGGCAGTCGTGGTCAAGGGATGATCGCCAGGATACCAGCGAATGGAGCCGCCATCAGCTTCCGGAGATTCTGCCAGACTTTATCCAGGGTTGGTACTTGTTCATGGACTCCGGCCTGGATGTGATGGAACGAAATGTTCTCCATGCTGAACTTCGTGGGGAGTTTGGAGTTCGAGTCGTGGAGGAGGTCCTCCGCAAGCATTGGTCGGACAGTGACATCCGGAAGCGAGACGCGGAAAAGGGGCGATTCCTTGCCAACTACTCAGGTCCCGATGATCTGGAAGAGGAGTGGGGCCACATGGGGGAATGTGATCCCATGAGCTTGGAGGCTGAGGGTTTCTCCGTGGACGAGATTGAGGCCATGGTAGCTGAAGAAGAAAGAGCCAGAAGTGCCATGACGGCCATTCAGGACAATCGCCGCACCTTGAGAGATGCGAGGGCACGGCAACATGCCGTGAAGATGTCGCGGCAGTTCTATGGCCGACCAGCTGCTTCTGGTGGAAGGGATGACGGCAATCGTGCTCGGGCTCCAATGAAGTGCTTCCGATGTGGTGGTCCGCACAGGATCGCTGAGTGCAAGGAGAAGCCCAAGCCGCCTTCGCAGGGTCACATGGCGGAGGAAGCTGCTCCGTTCGTCTTCTGGAACGAGCACGTGGCAGGCATGGCTGGGGCCTGCGACATGTCAACAGAATCATCCCAAAGTTTTATATCCACCACCCAAGCCGTTGCTGAAGGCAAGGCGGTGTTGGACGGCGGTGCGACTAGGACCATAGGTTCGATCACGGCCCTGGAACGTGTGACCGATTTGAACACCCGGAAACGGGGAGCGACAGGGGTAGCCAATATCGATTTTTCCGATAGACCCATTTTTGGGTTTGGGAATTCGAGCAAGAACCAGTGCGCCTCAACGGCGGATCTGCAAGTGCCGATGGCCGGCAGGTTGGGTACCATGAGGGTACACGCCTTAGATGAAGGCTCAGCACCGATTCTTCTATCCATACATTCGCTACGGCGACTAGGTGCCGTGATCGATTTTGAAAATGATTTGGCAGTTTTTCGTCATGTTGATCCCAAAAAGATGATTCGCCTGGAAAGGTCATCCGCGGGACATCAATTGATGCCCCTGACGGACGACATTTACACGCAGGCTGTGGATCTGGCGAAGCCGCTGGGATCCTTGAAGGACTTGGAGTAGGGACAACTCCTTTCTGCCTCGGACCCTGCCCCAGGTAGAAAGGTCGAAAGTGCTGCAGGGAAGGTTGGGTACGAGTTTGGGGAACTCGAACATGATTCTTTTTGGAACTCGAAGAATAGCGGAAAGACCCATGGGAACAAGAAAGATAAACACCAGGACATTCACAACATGGACCAAGAGTGCCCCTTGAATCGACCACCGGGCCAAGGTCAATGTGGAACAACTCAGGACAATGAAGCACATCAACACGTACAGACACATGACGCGCACACTCGTTCGAATTCGCGCCCGTCGGAGCCTTGGAACCGCCTAGACTCAGGAACTCACTTCACTTGTTCCTCGCTCGCGGTTTTGTCGAAACGATCGAACGACGGACTTCCAGTTTTTGGCTGTGAGTTTCATGCACACCCATGTGAGGCAGGTGCATTAGGTCCGACAGGTGAACTGATTGGTGCACCAGTTGAGTCAAGGGCGCCGGCGCGCAGTTTGAGGTTCGAACCGGAACCCCTAGCGCGATTTGAGTGTGTTCATCACGTGCAAGCGAGCCATGTCTTTGAACCAGATGAGCTTGGCAGAGCTACGACAGCGCCTGTCCCAGCACGGCGAAGAGGCGCCGAAGGGTTGGACGAAGGCGCAGCTGAAGCTTCGTCTGATCGAGATCGAAGGAGAAGAGGCCATGCTCCCTCAGGCCAAGGAAGTGTCACCGCTTCGGCAGATGGAGGTGAACATCAACAAGGCAGCTCGCCGCAAGGCGGACCTCCAGAAGTTTGTGAAGGAAGAGATGGGAGTGGATATCACGGGCATGGAGACAGTGGAGATCCTCAAGATGAAGGCCTTGAATCGGGCGTACAACAGCATTCCCGGCCATGCGGAGGACCCCGTGGGATTTGGACAGTGGTGCCACTTGAAGTACAAGGAGGTGAAATCCCAGCAACCGGAATACTGCCAGCGGGTGCTGACAACCTCGTCCGAGGGCCCATGCAGTCCACGACTTCGTCGCCTGGCCACATGGCTGAAGTCAGTGGGACACATCGAGACTCCACCCATGCCGGAGAAGAAGGGCACCAAGACGAAGACATCGGGCTACCAGCCCGGAGCAGCGTCGAGCAGCCCTCAGTCGGGATCGGCATCGAGTGCACCGCAGACACCAGAGCAGGGCGAGGAGGTCAAGGCAATGCTTCAGAATTTGATGGTGACGGTGAAGAACCTGTCAGACGACATGGTACAGGTGAAGCAGAGCTCGAAGGAAGCCAAGCGCCGCACTCGTCATGCCGAGGACGTCACTTCTACGAGCGAATGGGACCAAGTGTCGGAGCTGCAGTAGAAGGGCCCATGGAAGCCTATGAGCTCTCGGATGGAGAGACGGCGGATGGGCCTGAATGTGAGAGCCGAGAGCTAAGCCTCTCAGAAGTCAAGACTCTCAGCTGGAAAGCTGAGAGACTGCTTCCTGACAGTATGGAGGCTCTCGTACAGACCAGGAAGCCCATCCTTTTTGAACTTGCTTGCGCACCGGACTCCGTGCTGTCAAAACAGATGCAGCTGATCACCAATCGATCGTCGAGTGCACAGCGTTTTGCATACTGGAACGGACATGATATCGGAACCAATACGGGAGTTCGGGCCATTCTCGTGGCCATCAAGAAACAACGGCCGGAACATGTTTGGATTTCCACGGAATGCGGTCCGTTCAGTCGTATGCAACAGGTGAACCAACGAAACGAAAAACAAGTTTTGGAACTGAAACAAAAACGGGAGTCGTGCATTCGCATGTATGTCGGAGGGCTAGCTATCTACACCTATTGCTACCTACTCGGCATCCCCACCACTTGGGAGTGGTCGGAGACGTGCGACGCGTGGAGGCTTCCGATGGTTCAAAGGGTGTTTCAACGATATCCTCCCGTGTTTTGTGTCACGAAGGGTTGTCGTGTGAACCTGAAAGACCACAAGCAAGGGATGTTGTTGAGCAAGGGTTGGAAGATGGCCACCACACACCGCAGCCTGGCACAACAAATGGAGTTGCCCTGTCAATGTTCCGGGAAACATGCCGTGTGTCAAGGTGCTCTCACGAGGCGTTCCGCATACTACACCACCGAATTCGCCCGTCGTGTTTGTCGTGCCATCTTGCATCCCCAAAGATCCGGTGACATTCATGGAGAACTGTCAGGACAACACGGACCACCCAAATACTTGAAAGAACATGACATGGAGTGTTGTTGTAATGAGATCCACCACCCTCGTAGTGACATGAAGTGTAGCATGTGTGAACTGAGCCACGAATCGGGGGAGGTGTTGAGTTTGGTAGGAGAACGGGAAGAGGATGAACCTGATCTCACTCCCGAGGAAAAAGAAACCGCCCTGAAACATATCGCAATGCTCCATCGAAACACGGGACATGGACCAATAGAACACCTGGTACGAGCCTTAAAGTCACGACGTGCTGATCCTAGAATCATCGAGCTGGCCCGGACCTTTGATTGCTCAGTGTGTCAGGAGCTCAAACGTCATGTGCCTAGACCTAGAGTGAGTCTCGAACCTTTAGCACCAAAGTGGCATGTACTCCAGTCCGATTGCGCTTTCTGGAATCATCCACACTCGAAGGTTCGGGTTCAGTTCACTTTGTTGATCGACGAAGGTTGTCGGTTTCGGATTGGGAAGGTGATGAGAAAGGGTCCTGGGGGTGTTTCCGGGGAACAAATGATTCAATTCTATCAAGAGTGTTGGAAACCCATTTTTGGAAAGCCCCACAAGTTGAGGGTTGATCCGGCAGGACCTTGGAGGTCACACATGGTGGACGACTACTTCAGTAGAGAACAGGTAGAACTGGACGTGGTGCCTGCAGAGGCCCATTGGGGAATCAGCCAGGTGGAACGAGCAATCCAGTGCACCAAGCACATCATGACCAAGTTGGCACTGGCAGAACCCGAGATCTCACCAGAGGAAGCCCTGGCGGAAGCCGTTCGAGTGGAGAACGAACGAGAGGTCGTTCGTGGATATAGTCCGGCACAACACGCTTTGGGACGGTCTCCTGATGCCCACGGACGTTTTGGCAGTGAAGTTGGACCGATCGATCATGAAACCCTGTGTGAAAACCCCGAAGGTGAGTTTCAACGGAACCAGGAACGTATGAGGACGGCAGAGCAGGCCTTCACCGATTTCGTGTACGACGATCGAATCACTCGAGCCAAGAACACTAGAAGCTATGCTCCTCAGAGATTCCTTCCTGGAGACCTTGTCTTTGTTTGGAGGATCCAAGGCCTGACCAAAGGACCCGCTGCTTCATCTCGAAGCGGCGGATACACCGGACCTTGTCGAGTGCTCGCCGTCGAAACACGAATGACCGAGGAAGGTAACTATCATCCAGGGTCGGTCGTTTGGTTGGTCCGTGCCGGACGTTTAATTAAGGCCAACGTGACTCAACTGAGGCATGCCTCCGCTCGGGAGGAAACACTTGAAGCAATTACCAATCCTAATCCTGTTTTGCCATGGACCTTCACCCAGTTGACCACTGATTTAGGGAACAACAGTTTTGATGATGTTTCCGGTGAAGTCCCTGAACCCATGGAAATCGAGCAAAGTAGGGATGAGGAACAGGTTCGAACGTTTCGCCGCGTTCGACAGAAACGTTCCGCACCCGAATGTCCTGTGCCAAGTAGAGAAGCGTCAGGGAGCAATGAAGAACGAAACCCGTTCGGACACATGGCGGACTGCGACATACCCGAGACGTTTCAGGATTCATATGCCGAGTGTTTTTGGGGTTCCAGCCAAGCGGCAGTGGAAATTGGAATCGAAGTTCCTGATAGTAAGAGGGGTAGACTGTACATGACCAATCATTTCCAGTCCTTTTTGTCAGCCCAACTTCGAAGGAAGGGAGTTGAAGTGTCAGAACGCCACATGTCCGACGACGAACGAGAACAAATGAGGATTGCAAAGGGGACTGAAGTCAAAAAGTTCTTGGCGGCGGATGCATTGAAAGCATTGCCACCACACCTTCAGCCCAGCAGAGGCGTGGCCATGAAAATGCGCTGGGTACTCACCTGGAAGCGCGAAGAGTCCGGTGAACGAAAGGCCAAGGCCCGTTGTGTTGTTCTAGGATACCAGGATCCTTGCTATGCCGAGAGACAGACCATGGCTCCAACTATGTCCAGAAGCACGAGACAAATCCTCCTAGTCGTGGCCGCCAGCCACGGCATGAGAGTTGCCAAGGGAGATGTTTCAGGGCTTCCTGCAAGGGAGGTCATACCAACATGATGCCTATGTCATCCCAACTGATGAGATCTGTGACGGACTTGGAATCCCTGCAGGTTCCATCACAAAGCTAAAGAAAGCCTGCTATGGGCTTGTGGATGCGCCGCTGGAGTGGTTTTTGACCGTTTCAGAGTTCCTCATCTCCATCGGCTTTCAACGTTGTGTGTGCGACCCATGCTGCTTCAAGTACACCGACCAACATGGAAAGCTTGTCGGGTTGGTTAGTGGACACGTGGACGACTTCTTGTTTTGTGGCCGAGAGTCATGTGTAACATGGAAGGGTTTGTGTGATCAAATACAAAAGAAGTTTCAGTGGGGGACATGGGAGTACGACTCCTTCACACAATGTGGCGTCAAGGTTGAGAGGACCAAGACAGGAGGCTTCGACTTGTCTCAGACACAGTATATCGACGACATTCGCGAGCTGAGTATTTCGGCAGAACGTCGTCGGGAGCCTAAATCACACACTACTGAAGGAGAAAAGACGAGAATTCGAGCCGTCTTAGGAGCTCTCTCTTGGTGTGCACAACAAACCAGCCCTCACTTAGCAGCTGGAGTTAGTTTGTTTCTTTCACAGGTGCGAGACAGTACGGTTAGCACGATGATAGAAATCAACAAACTGGTGTACAAAACCAAGTGTCATAGGAAGCATGTGTTGAAAATTCATGGTAACATACAGATTTCTGATCTTCTAGTTGCGGGCTGGGCAGACGCTGCTGCCCAAAACAGGCATGATGGCAAGAGCACGTTAGGGATTGTGATAGGGATCACTTCCAAAAGACTTCTTTCTGGTGATCTTTGTCCTGTGAGTCCTGTGTTTTGGCGTTCAGGAAAAATCGAAAGACAGTGTAGATCACCTGGTGCGGCAGAATCTTTGGCTGCCATTGACTGTGAAGATGCCATGTACGGGATTCGACTTCAGGTTTTTGAGATGCTTGGAAACCATGTTCAGGTGCGACACACTGAGGAACAAGTTGCAAAGATCGCTGGAGTGTTGGTGACAGATTCCACCAACGTCTACGATCGCATGCAGACTGAGGTGTATGTCCCCAAGGGTCCGGAACATAGAACTAGTCTGGAGCTTATCGGCCTCAAGGAAGCTAGTGTAAAGACACAAATGCCGATACGTTGGGTGCACAGCGACGCACAACTGGCAAACTCTCTCACAAAAGATTCGGAGCCCCAACAGCTGCAGAAATTCTATCACCTTGAACAACATTGGAAAATCGTTGACGACCCTCTGATGAGGTCAGCTAGAAACCGCAAACGCCTCGGACTGGACGCCTTGGACAATGCCCATGAAGAGAACCAAAGTTCGGAGAGTTCCGGGGGATGTTGATGTGTCACTCGTACCCAAGCCAACCTTGGTACTCGCTACCAGCTAAGTGGATCAAAATCCAGTGTCCTAGTGCTCCGCCGGGTTCATTCGCCCTCGCCCGTTCGACCGCTTTGCGCTGTCCTTTCCGTGCGAGTTGATTGAAGAGAGCTAGACACTTATTTCCATCAAGCTTGACCGTCGTTGACGCCGGGAGTATCCCCGCAACAGCTGGCTTGTGAGAAGGGGCTACCTGCAATATATATATATATACATAGTTATTTAATAATAGGAAGACACCCTGGCCCGATGGCTGGTCAAAAAACCCTTGGTCGTTGCCTGGGAGGTCTCCCGATTTTGATACACGCCCGCTCCTTCTTCAATGCGTTTTCATAAAGTTATTTGGATTCATTGGATTCATACCCTAAAACACCAGCACCTCCCACCACTGGGAATCGCCCACCGCCTTGAAAACCCCCGACCCGCCCGACCGCTCTTCGGTGCTGAGGCGCTGAGAACTTCTTGGCATTTCCGGCCTTTCGGACCTGCACCCGAATCCGAGTCCAATCCGCTGACGTGCCTTGCGACTCGAACGGCTCCTGGCCATACTACTAGTCACAAGAAGCTACTAGTAACATCCCTTCGATTTTCTGAATCCCAGACATGTTGAAAGGGCGCCCAAGCTCATTGGATGCCCAAGGGGAGGTTTCCCCCTTCAGTGAAATAAGAAAAAGGTATTCCAACTCTCTTCTACACATCTTGAGCCAGCAACTTACCTGATCCATCCTGCACCCCCCCCTTTCCGTCGCCTCCACGTACGACGCGTCAGCCACCACGTGGGCGTTGGTGAGCAAGCACCTTGCATGTATGAGCACGTTTGGGAGGGTGGGGTCCAATATTATCCTGGACGAAGGACAAGAAGGCTTAGCTTGGACCTGAACGGATGGCCGCCGTGGGCCGCCGTGGTCGCAGCAGCACTTGCAAGCGCACGCGTGTACACACGTGTGTACACACCATTGGCACTGTAGCTGCTCGTCACGAGCTACCACCATGCTTCGAGCAGCTGCTCATCGCAAGACGCACAATCGTGCGTCCAGGAGACCGGCCGATCAACAGACGAGCAGAGCCCCAACGATCGTGGCTCGGCATAAGCTGGTCCTTTCCAGCAGTGCCCAGAAGGACGCACATCGGAATAATTACACCACCGTAGACCCCAAACAGTTTGTGTTTTTCAAAATCGAAACTAGAGCTTGCGACGTCCAGAGCTGGGAGACAAATGTAAAGGATTGCAAGGCAGAGACGGACACAGCAGTACAGAGCGGGCGGACACATCTTAAGAAAGAATTGAGAAGCCCTAACAGTAAACCTTTGGGGAATTATTCTTCAAGCGCGAACATGATGCTGGTCATGCTGCTCAGTCAGCGGGGAGCTGACCACGTGAGGACAAGAAACAAAAGCATGAGGAGCGAAGGATGTGACATGAAATTGATTGTTGGTGCCTGACGTATGCCCTCCGCCCCAACTGAACAGAGAGATCGCTGCCACGCCGCCGAAATCCAATCCGGTCATTCATCCAACGGTTGCCTGAAAGGAAAACAAAGCTGAGAGAGTTAACAGTGCGGCAGGAATGCAATCCCGGAGACAGTCACGTACCCCTTGCGAAGGAGCAAGAACTTTTCACAGGCGAACCTGTTCCAGCGGACAGGGCAGAAAACAGCAGTGCAGGCACCAAACCTGAAAGACAAAAAGAAAGAAATCACATGGGAGACAAATGAATAGAAATGCTACATGACCAGCGGAAAAGGGCGGCAGCGCCAGTGACAGACCCGGGAAACAAATGAATAGAAATGCTGCATGGCCAACGGACAAGGGCGGACACGGGCGGACACCACCAGTGACAGACCTGGAAGATGAACAGAAATGCTACATGACCAACGGAAAAGGGCGGACACCAGGGAGACAAACGAATAGAAATGCTACATGGCCAGCAGAAAGGGGCGGACACCAGCAGTGACAGAACTGGGAGACAAATGAATAGAAATGCTACATGGCCAGCAGAAAAGGGCGGACACCACCAGTGACAGGCCTGGGAGACAAATGAACAGAAATGCTGCATGGCCAGCGGAAAAGGGCGGACACAAGCAGTGACAGACCTGGAAAACAAATGAATAGAAATGTTGCATCCCCAGCGGAAAAGGGCGGACACCAACAGTGACAGACCTGGGAGACTAATGAATAGAAATGCTGCATGGCGGACGAAAAACACCAGACAGACCTGGGAGACAAATGAATAGAAATGCTACATGGCCAGCGGCAAAGCACGGACACCACCAGTGACAGGCCTGGGAGTCACATGAATAGAAATGCTGCATGGCCAACGGACAAGGGCGGACACGGGCGGACACCACCAGTGACAGACCTGGAAGATGAACAGAAATGCTACATGACCCACGGAAAAGGGCGGACACCAGGGAGACAAACGAATAGAAATGCTACATGGCCAGCAGAAAGGGGCGGACACCAGCAGTGACAGACCTGGGAGACAAATGAATAGAAATGCTACATGGCCAGCAGAAAAGGGCGGACACCACCAGTGACAGGCCTGGGAGACAAATGAACAGAAATGCTGCATGGCCAGCGGAAAAGGGCGGACATTAGCAGTGACAGATTTGGGAAACAAATGAATAGAAATGTTGCGTCCCCAGCGGAAAAGGGCGGACACCGCAAGTGACAGACCTGTGACAGACCTGGGAGACAAATGAAAAGAAATGCTACACGACCAGCGGAAAAGGGCGGACACCACCAGTGACAGACCTGGGAGACACACGAATAGAAATGCTGCATGGCCAGCGGAAAAGGGCGGACACCAACAGTGACAGACCTGGGAGACGGAAGAATAGAAATGTTACATGGCCAGTGGAAATGGGTGGACACCAGCAGTGACACAAAGGGCGGACACGTCTTAAGAAAGAATTGAGAACCCCTATAACAGTAAACTGTTTGGGGAAAAATCGCCCGGAAACCCGACTACAAGCACCCAGCCTGGGAGACAAATGAAAAGAAGCGGGAGACGACCAGAAGCACCCAGCCTGGGAGACAAATGAAAAGAAGTGGGAGACAAATGAAAGGAAGTGGGAGACAAGCTGGCCGGGAACCCGACCACAAGCACCCAGCCTGGGAGACAATGAAAAGAAGTGGGAGGAGACAAGCCAGCCGGGAACCCCACAAGCACCAGTGTGGAAGACAAATGAAAGGAACTGGGAGACAAATGAAAAGAACTGGGAGACAAATGAAAGGAAGTGGGAGACAAGCCGGCCGGGAACCCGACCAGGCCATCCAGCACCAAGGCGACCATTCTTTAAAGCATTGAGAACCCCTAACAGTAAACTGTTTGGGGAAAAAACTGGCCCCCCAAAGAAGAACAGGTGTTCGGGGCTATAGCCCACAACTTGGCGTCTTGGAAAGGTGAGCTGTGCAGCCCATATCTTTGGATATCCATCATGATTCGCCAAGAGACCCCGCCAGTCTCCCACTCCCAGTCTGCAGGTCTCCATGCATCTTCCCCTCGTGTAGAATCACGCAGCCCGAGCCCATCCGGTCCTGGCGACACGTCTGGGCTCGGAAGGCACCAGGTCTTGGAGGTCAACCGGGGGTTGCGTCCATATAGCCAGGAAACAAGAGGGCTGTGCCAATGTCGTCAGCCAGACGCAAATGCCCAAATCAATGTTGCCTGGGACTGAGGATGTATTACATATACAGCGTTGTATAGCCATTAGCGAGCTGCTTGGGCTTTCAGGTAGGCTTTGGACTTGTGTATCGTACCCCCTCCATGCTTTCGAAAATCGCCTGGCTGTGACATTGAAGTTATGAGCAGGTCTTAAGTCTCAACTCATTCTCTCAGCATATCTCACGACCCAGTGGCCCAAGCAACCCATGTACGCCGGTTCTTCCGTGTCGTTCATCTTTCACCGTACCTTTCATGTGACCTCTCTCTCTCTCTCTCCACCTCTTGCTGCTTGTTGGTCCATGGATGCGAAGGGTCTTGGCCTCGGCTCGGACGCATGGACGTGTTGTCGCGTCGCTTGAGGAGGTCTCCGTTTCAACGTATGAAATCCACTAAGGAGTAAAAAATAAGGGCCCAAACCTCGTGTCCCAAAAAAAACAAAAGCTCGTCAATGATCATCTACGTCTGTGCAAAAAGTTAAGGATCCCAAAAAGAATCATGGAAGATTCATCCACAGTATATGGCCCTGTTGGTTCTTTTTGCTGCTGTTCGCTTTTTCCGTATGCCAGCCCTTTGCCTGGGGACCATGCAGACCAGGAACCCATCAACCTGCTGGCTTCCAATCATAGGTATGAGAAATTTGGATGACATTGGTCAAGGTTCACTGTTTCAACCGTGGACCGCCGACCTGCTTTTCGTCCAGTCTCACAGAACTTGGCTCTGGGGTTTGTGAGCCGTGCTTCATTAACCCAATCCGCCCCCCTCCAGCTGCGGCTGGCCCCATTTGGCCAGGGCTCCAGGCTGGAGTACATGCAGTAGACCTTCACCTAGGCGTGCTCTAAAGAGGGACATGAAACATCGTGAAACCTCCTTCAATGCGTTTTCGGGAAAAGGGGATCGCTGTTCTATCTTTCTGGGGATGGCAGCCCCTCATTTGCAGGTCTCCTCATACATGAGAAGGCTGGTGTTCGACGGTAAAGATGCCGACCCTTGGTCTTGGTGAGGTGTGTTGATCAAAAAAATTGCACACGCTCCAGAGGCAAAACTCTCCGACAGATCAATGTTTCAGGAGAGAGGGGTTTCCTTCTTCAGGAGTCGGGCTTTTGAAAGCCCACAAATGTCTGGGACCCCAAATCAAGGACATGGGACGATGGTGGGCTCGACTTCATGATGAGCTGCGCAAATTGTTCATGAAGCCACCAGTGATGAGACGTTCCGGGAAACTGGCCTCAAGGACCGCGTCGTTTAGCGTTCCGAATCGCTCGGCTGGCCGGTCGTTTCGCTGGGGAATCCGCTCTTGTGTGCCCAACTCGGTGCCGGGTGCCGGACCACGAAGTGCTTCCGCCCCTGACCTTCGTGGGAGCCATCCTCTTGACCTTCGGGAACAAGAACGTGGCCCCCCCGATGGAGTCGAAGACCCTTCGAGTCGAAGCAGAGACGACGGGCCGTGAAACAGAACGCTGAGCTGGGCCCCACTGAGGCCTGCAAAACCCAACTGTTGGATGCCCAGCTGGCCCAGAAATGAGTGACCAGAAAAGGTTGTCAAGAAAGGTCCAACCCACGAACCTCGAGACCACGCGCTTTCAACTCCAAATCAGCATGCATCAAGCATAGAATCCATTCAATTCGATAACCCACCAAGCCAATCATCCACCTGTTTCACTCCACCAAGCCGCTCGCCGAACCCCCAACCGCCTCCGTCGTTTTACGGGGCACCCATGCCGGGCCTTGGTCCCCCACCTCACGCCCGAAGATGTCGACCTGAGTGAAACACGGAAAGAAAAAGATGCTGCGAAGTTGCAGAAACGTGTCTCTTGACCGGGTCCCATGCAGGTTTGGCAAAAAAAAAAAGTGAACTCATCCCTTTCACCGGGTCACCATCTCTCTTACTACCTCTTTTCTTACCATCATTCGTTTCATGTCATCCCAAAAGCTTCACTGCATTGTGATCCCAATGTGCGGCACTTCGTTCTGCCCCGCCCTCAGGGCCCAAACCAGCTCCGCCTGCCGAAGTCGGTTTACCGATCGACTGAGGCCCAAGCCACTGAATTCGTGGCTTTGGGCCTGGGCTGATGCTGCGATGTGGACGGAAGGCTTCTTATAGGCTTCGAAGCTGATTAAGACATACCCTATGTATCCCTATGTTCTCTCACCTGGGGTCTTTCTTGCAATTTGCACCTGCTTTTGTTCAAAAACTGTTAGAGGGACCCTGGTATCAAACTGCATACTTGAGCTTGGTGCTAACTGTTACTTAGCTTTGGGGAGAGAAAAAATCCGATCCATATGCCGTAAGAGGCGAACCAAAAAGAAGTTAGAAAAAACGCCAGACCTGAAGATCCTTCAGGAAGTTCAGACAAGTTCAGCATAATATCAAAAACCGCCACTCGTCAGAACCCACTCGTGTGTCTTCACGGCACAGCGGGAGGGGGCAGGAGGCCGGAGTGGCCCCTTTTCTCCGCCGTGAGTCCTTCCGCCGTGGTTCGCAGCGAGTGATGTGCGGCGACCTTTGCGCCACCAGTGAGACGATCGGAACTCCGAAACGGCGACCGTTTGCGCCACCGGTGAGACGATCCCAGGTGGATCAAGCGCGTCTTGCCCACTGCCAAGGGCACACCCGGTGATTCAAAGCA